CGATAGAGCGAAACTGAACCAAGAACCGTTAGCGCAATTAGCGACCCTACAATCGTCATGGCGAACACTGGCTGATTGGTACACCAACGTGCCGCTTTTTCGAGAGCACCGATTGGCCTCGCCATCACAGGTTCGCCGGCCAAGAATCGCCTTAAGTCCTGTGCCATTTCTTGAGCCGAACCGTAACGGCGAGAAGGTTGTTTCGCCATCGCTCGGGCACAAATCGTTTGCAAATCTCTCGGTACGGCTCGCTTCAATTCAGCAGGTATCGACTCGTCTTTGTGAATCACCTGTTCGATCACAGATCCCGGAGTTCCTTGGAACGGTTGCTGGTGATATAGCAACTCATACAACACGACGCCAAGCGAATAGATATCACTGGAAGCAGAAACACTGTCCCCACGAGCCTGTTCTGGAGACATATAAGCCGGTGTGCCAACAAGGTCACCCATACGCGTTAGTTGACTTTCATGTTCGGCCAAGCCTGCCAATCCAAAGTCCGCAACCTTCGGCTCGCCTCGACCATCGAAGAGAATGTTCGCCGGTTTGATGTCTCGATGAATGATCCCGCTTTGATGAGCGTAATCAATTGCGTCTGCAATTTTCCCGACCCAAGCAGCCACCTCTGCATGCGAATATTCTTGGCGATCGACTTTATCTCTAAGCGTCCCGCCTGAAACAAACTCCTGAACAATCCACGGCCGCGTCTTTCCTCCACCCATTTCGTAGACTGAAACGATTCCCGGATGCACCAGTTTCGCGGCCGATTCGGCTTCTCGCAAAAACCGCTCCGCCATGGTTACGTGATCCGACAAACTCTGACGAGCAATTTTGATGGCGACTTGCCGTCCAAGTTTCTTATCGCGAGCGCAGAACACGTTTGCGAAAGAACCTTCCCCCAGCAGAGATTCCAACTCAAAATGATCACCGCCAATTTGATTCTGACAGAAAGCTAAATCATGTGGCTCACGGGACTCTTGCATTTCGAATTCGCCGAACCCTGACGCCAGAGCATCGAAGACTTCGAACTGACGATTCAGTTCCGTCGTGTACTCAGAAAACCGCTGCAGAAACTCCGTCTTCAATTCATGACCGCGGCTGTCCCGCAACATAAATTCGCTGTAAATCAAATCGACGGCTGCAGAACGATCTGCGAACACTTCAGGAAACTCACGCAAGTAAGATTCAGCGGGCATCGGTGACGTTGCGAATCGATCACGAAGATCCTCGATCAAGCAAGCGACGCGTTGTTCCTGCTCTAGCAGTTGAATCCGCGATTTTAGTGCCGCCAACTCTGGTGCGGATTCTTGCCGCTCAACTTTCCCGTCGACTGACATCCAGGCCGCTCCTAGATTCCAAGCTCTTCGATAGCACGATCACATGCTCGGCCAAGTCGCTTCCGTAAAGCGTCTGCGTTTTCACCCAGTTCGTCGGCGATCGCTTCCCACGACATGCCCGCCTTTCGCATGTCAGCAATCTTTTTCTCATTGTCGCTCAATCGATTGCGAAATTCGTTCAGGAGTTCTTTACCTGAAACGATCGAACTGGCAGTAGAAGTGCTCACCGCCACAACGTCTGCTTTGTGTTCAACTTGGTCGTAAGTTTTCCTGACCACTTCACGACGATGGCGATCGATGACTTTATTGTTGGCCATCTTGAGAAGCAGCGCCATCAACTGAGCGGGACTCGAAAGGTCGAACTGGCCGTGAGCAACACGGACAAAGAAGTTGCCAAAAACTGACTGGGAAATATCCATCGAATCAACGATCCGACGAAGCTTCGGATTGGTCAGACGCATTCGGATCTCGCGGCGGATCTCCGGCTCGTAGTTCAACAGTAACTCCGACGCAGCTCCATCGTCTCCGTCCCGAACTCGGACGATAAGTTGGTCAAATTTTTCAGCGCTGAGTTTAATCACCGTTCTCTCCCACCAACGATGTTATCTGCCATTTGACGAGGTGGCAAAAGCCATTTGGGGCAGAAACCCTACGAAACCAGTAAATGGAAATAATTTTCCGCTTTGTTGTCCGAGACGAACCTCGCGTGCGTTTGACGAAAAACAGGTTCAATCCGCGAGTCATGCACGTAGAAAGAGCAGGCTCCGCTGTTCAGTTCGCTAAACTAACGAACTCGTAGCTGTGGGCGATAGTGACATGCAACCCTTCAACGGAGCATTTCGCTGACTGCTGAGCCTAGTTCAGCATGTGCCCAACTTTTTGACGCCAAGTCCCCCGCAGCAACCTCGCTTCCATGAAACGATTTTCAATCCGAAGTCTACTCTTGCTTGTAACGGCATTGTCGGTTGCTATCGGTTGGTATGTTTGGTTTTCTGGGGACACGGTAAAAATCTCCAAAGCCGGTCCGAATGAACTTGTCGATTTCTATGACTCAACTCCGGCGCACATAGGATTTTCGTACGAGCATGACTCGGTTGAGAACTTACGACACCTCGCTGGCAACCTGCAAGAACGGACTCTCGTGACTTTCACTCTCCATCGCGTTACCGATCGAGTTGTCGACGATACGGAGGCCAATGGATTTTCCGCCGGGCTAGAGCGAGGCTCTATAAAATCAACATCGCGACAGCAACTAGACATGACGATCGCAATCGCGAACACCGACAAAGGCGATCATGTTGAAACACAGCTGGGGACAACCAATCCGGGGCGTTTCGGGCAAGCAGCAACTTCGATTCGCCACAACATTCAACAGTCATTTTCGCAAACGTACCCCCAATCCATTCATACGGGATCAACCAGCGTGACATATGCTGTCGGCGACACTATGCCCTCAACGGATACTTATCGCAATGTCCGCGAGTTTGCCGCGTCAAATCCCAATAGATCATTTTTGGTGGTAGAGTGCTTTTGTGAGTTGCGACCCGCTGACTAGAAACAGTTGTTCGACTGATTGAACGTCGATTGTTTCGATCGACATCAAACTGAAACCGTATTTGCATTTGACTTGCGAACAAATTGAATTGGATATTGAGCTAACGAACGAGAAACGATGAAGATTAAACTTCGAACATTGTTCATTCTGGTGACACTCGCAATATTCCTTGCCGTTTTCATCCTCGAACCGTTCGTTCAACGCCAACAAGAAAAACAAGCAAGGGGCTCACTCCAAGAACGGTTTGGCACGGTTGAATTCAGAACCACCAACGGCGCCACGAAAACCTTGAAGTGCGTTGGCGAACCAGGCGGCTCTCAGTCAATTGAGACAAAGACTTTGACTGTATTTCGCGAGCTGGATTCGCTTGAACTGAAGAACTGCCACGTCAAAAACACAACTCCAACAACTAAGCTGTACATTGAAGCTTTGGATCTGGAACGCGTACGGCTGGATCTCGATATTCCAATGAACAACTTGAAGGAATTGATTGTTAGCAGGTCATCGATTGGGATCTGGTTCACGCCTAGCGAAACCAAACTGACTCCTGCAGGATTTGATTTCAGACCGTTCCGCAACGCTAGTAGCCTAGAGTCGATCACAATATCGAATGATTTCATCAACGGTTTTCACGGTCTCGAATCGTTGCCAAACCTTCGAGGACTCTCGGTCATTCAAGCAAAGATTTACTCAATCGAAGGCATTGATCAGATCGAAGCACTCAGATCCTTGAGCCTCACATCGGACTGGCAACGCGAAATTACTCCATCGGATATCAAAATCCTTTGCAACTGCCAATCGCTTGAGTTCTTGGTGCTATCCAATGATTTTGATCTAAGTGCAATCGAAGCGATTAAAAATTCGCTTCCGCAATGCGAGATCCTGATTAAGCAGTAGTCGGCATTTTGCTTGCATGGTGCTATTCCAAAGTTACGCCTTTTCCGGCGAACTAGTTCTCCCAAGCTTTGTCTTATGCGGGACCGATCGTGCGACTAACGCAACTGCGCGATCGGTGCGCAAGGTGGCATAGCCCACCATACTTTTCCGGAAGTGTATCAACATCGCGATGCAACATGGAACCATCCTACGCCTGGCAAGCGAACGATGGATTCGCATTGCGCTGTTTTTATAACTTGTCTCCGCTGGCGGAAACGCTGGCCCTAACTTTTAACTCTTTGAAAGGAGAACTAATGGCCAAGGAGATCAAGCAGAACGTTGTCGACAACGGCAACACAAAACTGAACGTCAATGTGGGCACGATCGGTCACATTGATCACGGCAAGACGACTTTGACGGCTGCGCTTTTGCGTGTGCAGTCCGAAAAGGGTCTTGCTATCTACAAACCGTATGACCAAATCGCAATAGGAGGCATCGTCCGTGACAAATCGAAAACCGTTACGATCACTGCGGCTCACGTCGAGTACGAAACGGCTGCGCGAACGTATGCCCATATCGACTGCCCCGGTCACGCGGACTACATCAAGAACATGATCACCGGTGCGGCTCAGATGGACGGAGCAATCCTCCTGACTTCTGCTGCCGACGGGCCTCAACCGCAAACTCGCGAGCACATTTTGCTGGCGCGTCAGGTTGGCGTTCCACACTTGGTTGTGTTTCTCAACAAGTGCGATTTGGTCGACGATCCCGAGTTGATTGAATTGGTCGAAATGGAGATTCGTGATTTGCTGACGCAGTACGGGTTTGACGAAAGTCAGGTTCCGTTCGTTCGCGGCAGCGCCTTGATGGCTCACGAAAATCCAACCGACGCCGATTCGATTCGCTGCATCGAGGAACTTCTCGATGCACTCGATACGTCGATTCCTGATCCTCTGCGTGACATGGACAAGCCTTTCAACATGCCGATCGAGAATGTTTTCATGATCGAAGGCAGAGGCACCGTTGTCACGGGAAAGATCGAAGCGGGCAAAGTCCGTGTTGGCGATCGCGTCGACATCGTAGGCAAGGAC